TACTACCGTTATCTGGTAGCAATACTAAATACAGTTTTCAATGAAATGTTTCACGCTGTATTTACTTGAACTCATTTTCGGCGCTCTTGCCTACAATAAGCAAGTGAAGGTAATTATATCCATTCATTATGTTTTCATACATTCTGATCTAAAATTCCTTAAAATGCGGGCAACTTGGAGATTTCATCGATTGCATTATTGTCGATTACGCCTGCCCGTACCGTATCGCACATCCGTTGCTTCTGGACTTCTAGCTATCGTAGTTAGGACTTTAAGCTTGGAATGCAGCTGTGTTACTGGTTGTCCACAACCACAACGCCTGGTACGTATCTTAATTTGAAACCCTAGAGTCATCGGATCCATTCTTGAGCATTTAGCTACTGGTGGCCTGGGCTTCGAAACTCGGTTAATAATCTGTACAATTCCAACGTAACACCGATCTCAGCCAGCGGCCTAATAGAAGCTCGATTCAACTTCGTTACTCCCTGGAGAGGCTCGATCATCGCGCGCTGACTTCGCGCTATTAACTTATAGTCAACAGCTTGCAGCAGCGGGTGTTGTGTTGTTGTTGTAATTGCCCATCCTGGTAGTGGCGACAAGGGAGGGGGGGTGATAGGTCAGTTTTTCCGGGCACTCGGTACCACTGGTAGTTCTACGACCATCACTGGCTCGCTGACCCGCCAGAACCATTTTATTGCATTAGGGTACGTACACAGTGAAAGCAGGTTGCCAGCGTGCTGGTTACCTGCTGAGGCTGGCGCCTGAAACAAGCGCGAGAGGTTCACAGAGGAAGCAGGTTGCCTGCGTGCTGGTTACCTGCTGAGGCTGGCGCCTGAAACAAGCGCGAGAGGTTCACAGAGGAAGCAGGGAACCAGCTGCGACCTAATCAGTGCTCTGGGTGAGGAAGTGTGTTATTAGTGTATTTAACACGTTTTTCTTAACTTAGCTTCGCGTTTGATTGTTTGTGGATTTGTTTGTTGTTAACATTGACATCGAAAATTAGCCCACTTCTGATTGCTCTAGAGATCTGAAATTCGGCATGCAGGCTATTTTCGCCTAAAAATTTCAGATACAATCATAAAAACTAGCAATTAGAGACCTAAATTAGCCTAGTTGAGTAAAGTATATATATATATATATATAGTATGACGTGCGGGCGCTGACGTTATAGACGAGCAGGTGCTGACGTTGCGTATCATCGATACGTACGTCAAGTCGTACTTAATCAAGTCTTAATCGTTTTTCTTGTGGACTAAAATGTAGAAAATAAATTATGGCTCGCCCCAAAAAACGTGTGTCGGGCAGATTTATGATTAAAGCGAAAAACACACAGTGTCCTCTTGTTCACCTGTGTCCTCTTGTTCACTTGTGTCCTCTTGTTCACCTGTGTCCTCTTGTTCACCTGTGTCCTCTTGTTTACCTGTGTCCTCTTGTTAGCGTGTGCCCGCTCGTTCGCCTGCCCCCTACACTTCGAACTTTACAAGGTTAGTACGCTAACGACTATATATTTATATCAGAGATTCTGAAAACGTCGCAGGGTTTATAGACTTTTTAAGGTTCTGACTTTTTAAACACCAGATCACTTGAATCCTAAATTATTAGGCCCTCGGCCTTTAAATTTGGGTTACTCGGTTTCGGCACGATTTCTTAGATAGGTCTTGAAACACCTAGGTGTTTCACAGCAGGGTAAATTTTCTGTGTAGTAAAGGTACTCTTTTTTCCTTTGGTGCTTTCTATCGCAAGTCACAAAATTAGAAAAATCTGACAATGCATGCAAAGAAATATCTACTAATAAATCTGAACATAATGATATTTAAATTAGTTTGAACTACTAATTATATTATTATAAATATTATTCTATAATGCGATTATGGTAGCACCTGGTCCAAACGAACTCCGACAGGCGCGACAATTCTACCGCGAGATGATGACTGTACCCGAAACGAAACGCAAGAGTCCGGCTCAGGCTGCGGTTCAACGGGCCCGAGAAGAAGTGGAAATCCACCCACGCATCAAGCTGAGCAAGTGCAAGCCTCGAAGCTGGGTGTGGTAAACAGTTTGGGGTCTCGGCAGCGGAGTGCAAACCCACAGGAGACGTCGAATTTTGCGGGTCGAGGCCAGCCTCACGGCATTGCACGCGCTCCACCTCGAATAACATAGCGGTAGTAATTAATTCAGGACAGGCTTCAAGAGTGTGGCCGGGCTGCCGGCAAAGGAAGCATCTATCGGTCTCCCACTTGACTGAGACGTGGCATTTTTCGCCGCATGTTTTGCAATACATGCGATTGGAGTTGGTGGAGACCAAGGTTTTCGAATACCTTCTACCGGCGAAACCACCTTGCCGTCTGAGTGGAAACGCCAGAAGTCCCGTTCTCGCGTTGAAAATCGATCATGATGGCTTCCAAATTGAACAAACAGCTCACCAATGGTTAAAATAAATGAAAAGACACCATAAAATTGAGTGTATAATTGGCTGATCTAGTAATCGGCTACAAATTAGAGTATGCGGCTTCACCCGCCATGTATGAGGAACAAAATTCCAGCTCCTATAACGGCGCCCACCGAATCACCTCAATTACAAATAACGATCAGGAACTACGTTGGGTGAACATTGAAAAATCAGGATCTTACAAAAAATCACAAAGATACTCTCATATGTCTCCCCAGACAGCGCCACTCCCTTAACAGGACACCAAATAATATGTTGTGGGAGACCTTCTAACACTATAGGCTATTCGTCAATTTTTGACGAGATAGTGTCATACAAACTTTATAGATTCTAGGGGTATAAAGTTTTATTTAGAGCTCCATCAATCTTTGCGTACCAAATGAAGGCAATCACTAAGCCCTTAACAATGTGACACGTTAAAATCGGTTACAAACAGAAACGCCACTCCTCTTGTCGGACGCCCTTGAACCACAATAAAAACGCATGAACCAACTACGAGTAATGAGGTAAAAAGCTTAATTTCGCAGTGGAAGAATTATTAGTCTCCAGGAGCACTCTCGACCAGCGAAAAATGTACGACGACACAGAACTTTGGTTTCCTGCCATATGAATTTTGTGCCCTTCACATCTCCTAATCCATTGGGGAATTCAAAGTGTTTCATTTGAAGTGAACTTGACCATAACAGAAAAGGCAAATCTGGTGCCCACGTCCACCTGAAATATTCACAAATTACACGAAACGATGAATTAAAATTTCATTCCTAATTCACCCCCCGGAAAAATAGCTAAATCGAATGGGGAGTATCCCATCATTTATCCTAGCATTGTATCACGCAAAAAGCATAACAAACGACCGAACTCTTGACAATCATTAATGGGTAATTTCCTTGCCTAAACATCGATGCACCAAGAATTAAGTACCATGGGTATCACAAACATGTAAACTAACATCTAATACGGAAGCTAAAACTGCAGTCCCGCCACCAACTGCAGTCCATGAAACAATTTCGCAGTAATTAATGCGCAACGAAAAAATTCAACGACGTCATATTTCGAATTTACTGAAGCATTGACTAATGTTTGCTAATTACCAAATTACAAGGAATAATCACGTTCCGACCGCTCCAAACAGTGATCGATAAAAAAACGGGTACGAATGCTCTAAGACTTTACACAATCGAAATTCTTTAATATTTTATTTAAATGAGTCAATTTAACAAGAAACTCCTACGAGAACAGCACTAATCAATCCGCTACGATATGATTATCTAAGGTTAACCTTAAAAATTTAAACTTTGTATATTTTTTACTCTTGGTAAAAAATCTTGCAATCTGCCCCTCCTTTGGTTATAGCATCAAATTTGATTGATTTTACAAAATAATGGCAGTATTGTGTCCACTGCGTTACAGCTGCAGGCAGGTAAAATTAAGGCCCCTTTCGCACAGGGTGGCAATTACCGCCACTGTCCGACGGTTCTTACTGCCGAACCTCAGCGGACATACAAAGTGTGCTCTGCTATTCACACACGACGGATTTTAACGCGGCGTAGAATTTGATGCCTGACGCCCGCGTGTGTACTGCTAAAAATGCGGCGGTGGATTTGCCGCAACAGTTTAGCTTGCAGCTATGGTATTCAATGTAATCTTTCACACTAGGCGGTTTTTCACGCCACTAGCTAGCATGGTAAAGAGAGTGGGCCGTTTTTATTGTGCATAATAAACAAGCTAAAACAGCACTGCAAGACTGATAGATTATAGAATATTGTTACATAAACAAAAAAGATATACATTGATAAATATATTTCCATAAAGTGATAAAGATATATAATATATTTCCATTAGTTCCTCTTCAAAATATATTTTCATAAAATATTTTGTTACATAAACATAAAGATAGACTTATGGCGCATAAAACAGCATTGAAAAATTCCAGCGTTGGACACCGCCTCGTGCGAATGATTACGCGGTAAATACCGCTGCGTTTTTTTACGCTGGCGGTATTTGCCGCCGAGTGTGAAAGGGGCTTAAGGGTTAATTTTGGCTCAGGGTAGGTCGAGAATGATACCGTTGGCATGGCGTAACGATGAAAGATAAGAAAATGAAGTACCCGATGCGACGTCGGACAGTCGATACTGCAGAAAACAATAACCAGGTTAAGACCAAACTGCATGGAAATTATGTCTCACAACATAATTTTACCATTGTCATAATATAAATTCACTATGATGCAGCAACTAACCTGTTTTTAATGCCCAGTATTTTTACTTTCAGTGCGCAGAAATTAATTTGGAAATTCAGAGGAAATCAGTAGAAGGGGTAGAAAGTTTCACTGAGAACTACAGAAAGAATAGCATGAGGTTAAGTTGCGTTCGAAATTAGATCGAATACAAAAAGTAGAACATCACAATCCGCAGATAGTTATGATAATTATCGCAGATAGTTGAAAAATATGAAAGTTATAAATATGATATAATATATATGTATAATGTAAATCTTTTATCTAATATAAAATTTATACAATTTAAATGAAAACTTGAAAAATCTAATCGGACCAAACGTGTTTCAATTAGATATATTGATTACTTGATTATAATAAATCAAATGCAATTGAATCCTAAAAGTTGTAATCTTAAACTAAAGTTTAACTTCCCACAGAAGAAAATTAGGCATAGAGTTGGTGCACAAAAAATTGACACGACATTGACGTAAAACAAGGGATAAAGAATCAGATTTATAGGTAGAATTTTGAGAATACTTAATAACCGATGAATGTGGCGCAGTTGAATGTACGGATTCGTATATAACACTAGTCAATGTATATTAGGACATAACGGAACCATGTATATGGAAGCTCATTACGTAGGACTGATTGGGCCGACCACTGCGCCGAACTGCATACGAAAAAATACTCCCAAGAGCCTCTTTGCCCAGTACCTAACATTGTCTTGGACACAGTCGGACAAAGAACCTTTGTCCGCACCGTCGGACAAAGGACGACCGCATTGCGCGCCAGAAACAAATTATTTCATATTCCCTGTATTATAATGGGAGATTATTTAGCGGTGAAAGTTCATAAATTAACGGTGAGAAATTTAGAATTTCTCACAATGCCACGCATTCTACTAGTCACTAGCGTGAACCTGGAAAACAGAAGACGGAAGTACAGCGCAGCTACAATGAGAACCTGATTGTTCGCAACATAAAGTACATACTATTGTATTGATATTGCCTTGACGCATAATCGGGCTAATGGAATGAATTTGATGAATCACCATGCAGATACTGAAGACATCATAAAAGCAGCTCTAAAATTTAGGAAGTAGACGACAGGTTAATTAACCTCAGCGGCAATCATAAATCTAAACAGCCCCACCCCAAACAATGTATAAGTGGGGAGCTGAATACTGTAAAATTATTCTGTTTAGATTTGTCATAATTAAAATCTTCAATAGAACACGCATAACATAAGAACTACTGTCTAACTATACCAATTTCTGAATCAGAAATATTAAAATAAAATTAATCACATCCACTCATAATTATAATATGTTATCAATCAAATCGTCACCTAGAATTGATCGTATCTAGACTCTGACTTAACCTACACTAACTTTTTAAAATTTTCCCGGGAAACTCCAAATTAAAATACCATTCGATCAAATTCGAATGACAAACCATTTCGGAATCCCAAAAAAATGACTGGATATTACGATGATATTGGACAGGAGGAGGGCGGTCTAATCCTCTTTAATTTACGCTGAACTATTTCTTACGCATGCTTATGTGTGAAACTTTTTCGTTGCGTTAACTATTAAAGTGTTTATACTACTGAAGACTTTTATTCACATAAACAGTTCATGAGAACCTGGTGGTCTCCAACAACGTATGCCCTAGATGCTATTGTACTAAGGCCTTGACGCATAATCGGACTAATGGAATGAATTTGATGAAATCACCATGCAAATGCTGAAGACATTGTAAAAGTAGCTCTAAAATTTAGGAAGTAGACAACAGGTCAACCACAGCGGCAATCTTAAATCTACACAGCCCCACCCTAAACAATGCATCAAAGGGGATCTGAATATCGTAGAATTCTTCTTCTTAGATTTGTCATATTTAAATTCAACAAGTGAATTGCTTGCACAATGAATCTTTTTGAATGTCCTGAAATCGAATGTATCTTCTTCGCATATTTATTTCTCTTCATTGCGAGTCGAGTTGAAAGAAATGTGACGGTTAAGCGTTTAAGCAGTCCTATTTTCTGAATTAACAATGCACGGCATTTCCTACTTTGATGCTTCGAACTAATTTTTTGTCATTTTCTATGGTATAGAACTATTTTCTGTTCCGTACCTTATCACTCGCCCTCATCATTAGTAGCGAGTGTGACATCACATCGTGTGACGGCTTACAACTTTGAACTTATCCGCTAAGCCTGAAAGCAACTCACAGTAGTACCGCTGTTAACAGAACAATGGCTGCGATCATCAGGCCCTGAACAGGTAGTGGATTCACTCCATTGCTGTTGCTTTTTGACTGATTCGGCTTCTTCTTCTTATGTTTCCTCTTCTTTTCAGGTTTCTTCTTTTTCTTCATGGTTTTCTTTTTTTCCGACGAAGAATCATCAACGACCAATAAAAAGAAAAAAAACATACAACACAAAATTCATAAGAAATGCAGGGGCTAACGAAATTTCACACCCAATTCGTTATTTCAAAATTTCAAAAGTAATGCATTATTCACCTATGCCCGTCATTGATCTGCCAGTGTGCGTTTCCAACTAAAATTCATATCCCATGATTAAGACAAGTTTCTTGTAGCAAAATTGTGATTAATAAGGCAGCGTTTTTCAATTTCTAATGTCAAGAGCTACTAAATTTTCATCCAGCTATCGTTCTATTGCTGCTCTTAAACGACAATCTCTTAAGTCAACGAGTCCATGATAGACATGAAATAATCTGTAAAGTCATTAAAATTGCTCGCTCGAACTTAATATACATACATAGTCTTTCTATTCTATTCGCTTACAGTTTGTAATTTGTCCCGCCTGCAAACTCAATTTTGACGATAGGGTTTGAGCCTCACGAAATCGACTTCGACATGGTTTCGCAGGTTTTTTAAATTAGCGGGGACTTCTGTAGCAATACGAGATTTTTTCACTTGCTTCTTATTTACGAGTGCTCGAATTTAATTATGAAATTAATCACTCCAATGATTGCTTTTAAACTAAAATTCAATATCTGGTAAAAATACTAACATGTCCTAAAGTTCATTTTGCATTTTCACCGCAATACGTAGTCTTGTTCGGAATGAAGGTTATTCGAGATGTGTAAATGTGTGGGAGTAGATATGGTATGGTAATTTACTGGGACATTGGAGGGTTGGACAGCAGCCGTCGTTGACACGTTCTCCTCTGTATGGCTGAGGCTCCCGACGTCTGGCGCAACTGTCAATCAACAGAAAGAGATGGCTTCATTGATGTCCGTCTCGTGTTCACCCATGTTATTGTATGATAGTTATGTTGCAGTATTGTTATTTGCTACTAGGAAAAGCTTATAAATTGATTATTATTCGTTCCTATCAAATACTTCCTTCTGACCCTAAGGGTTTAAATCAAGCCAATAATATAATTTAAACGTGAAAAATATTTTCACTGGTTCATATTTTCAACCAGCTAATAATCTTATGTAAAATTAATTCAGACACTTGAGACCAGTTAGCGACATTTTGTCGCACAATATGCCAAAAATGTCGCGCTATTGTCTAAAGTATGCTTAATGTTTAGCACAAATATACCGCGACACGGTTTTCGAAAACTCTTAACAAACGTGTCGCACAATAACCCGAATTATACAAATATATAGATAGCTTATATGTTTTCGAAAACCGTGTCGCGGTATTTTTTGTGCTAAAACTTAAGCATACTTTCGACAATAGCGCAACATTTTCGGCATATTGCGCGACAAAATGTCGCGCAATAACTGTCTCGGTATGTACCAATGTCGCGGAATCTACCTATGATTAGTTTTAGTCAATAGTACGACACAAAAAAATGAACGCTATTATGCGACATGCTAACTAACAAAAATCTCGTTAGGTTAGGGTTAGAATTAGGGAATATGAAAAAATATATATATATATATATATATATAAAGTCATAATTCCACTCTACCGGACTTTATTTTTATTTTTTTGCTAAATTGCAAAATATATATATATATATTATATATATATATAATATCTATATTTACTCAGCATAGAGTGAATGAATGAACAAGATTACTTGGATGAGCAAGTGCTCAGTCACGTTTTATTGTCATATTTTGAAGGAAAACCCACAACGATGCAACACGTTGAGCTTACCTAATTTTGGAATCACAATGGACTTGCAGGTTTCCGGGCCTGAGGCTTCACCGACTGCGACTGCGATCATGCACACCTCATACAACGAGTTGTGCTTCACATTGTCTAGGATGTAGTTTGAATAGTGGGTATCCAAGTTAATGGATTGAGTCGTCTTGGGCTGCTGAGGGTCGTTGAGATCAAGAACTGAGTAAGAAATTTGGTAGCGACTAATATTGCAGACAGTGTGTGGAGTTTCCCACGACATGACTATGCCCTGAGTAGCTTCGAAACTTGCTTGGAACTCGACCGCGGAAGGTGCTGGGACAAAGAAGAATTAATTAATCACGGAGAGTTGGAATGTATGTGCAGATAATTATATACAAGCAAACAGTTAACGCCCATTAGTTCGGTACATCATTATATGACTGAATTTTCGCTCAATGTTTGCTATATCGCATGAAAAAAAAATAGGCAAAATAAAAATTTATGATGTTGTGAAGTCAGTTCTAGTCATACTTTACAGACAATCATCGCACGGCGTCAACTCTCCCCAGCATAATTTCAATGCATGCACAATATGTATCGAATACTTTTGAACACTTTATTTATGTTATTATGATCCACTAATAACCTGATGTTTTTATAATTTCAGTACGAATCTTAGGCCCTCGAAGAATTTTTCCAGCAGAATCGAGCAGATACTCTTCAGTTGTGCAGGTGGTACAAGCAGGTAGCTCCCTCTTCGCGCGTTTTAAGGCTACGAAACTTTCATCCTCTTCCAAATCAAGCTCAGGAAGTATGTTGAGGATGACATAGCCACAAAGTTCTTCCCCGCTGGGAAGCATCGTAACTTCTCGCGTTACGCTACACAAGTCGTTAGCGCATTTAGACAGGGCATCTGGGGTGAAAATATATCATTTTGAATATGAAAGTTACATAATTTATGATCTTCGAACATTGTATTTAATGAAATTGGCAAAAACGAAAGCAGCTGTGGTCTCAGTAGAAATTTTAGATAAAAAAACTGTGAAATGTATAAGTGAATATTCCTGAGAGAGAGAGAGCAATGCTAAATTATAATTTACGTTCACTGGCTGGCTTCCTACGGCGAGCAATAAGGTACGAAGGTAATGTAACATAATTTTTAGCAGGTTGAAGCTCAAAGAATGTCCAAATTATATGGCAAATTATGGAGACATTTTACGCATTTTAGACAGCCTCCACAAAATGAACAAAAATAATAAATCCGTGAGTCAGGAGATAATGGTCTAACAGCTGGTTCTTAACAGGATAAACATTCTGTATAATTGTGTAACTATGGAGGATTTTATCACAGGGAACCTCCACGTGAACCTCGTGATCGTTAAAGATCATCAGTAGATAATCCAAAATTTCTTCTTCTCAGGTGCCCTTAGGAGTGCGGCGGCTGCAGAAAAAAGGCTGGAATTTTAGGTACGACAAAAAATTAGCCCTCTTTACAATTTATCAATTTCTGTTCGTGTTTCGTAGCATTTTGCTTGTGTATTTATCCATTTAATTTTTCGTAGTCATAAGATGCCCACCTTCACTATATACCCTTTTTATCAATCCAGCCAGCCTACCCTGTCTTAATTTCTTTTCCATGGTTGTTGATGATGACTGTCATTATACGGGTGTAAAGTAAACTGTACTGGTGCGAAGTAAACGTGATGGCAATTAATGGATTAAAAAGGTAAAACTAACACAAACAATTTCTAATAGCAGTAGTATTTTAACAATCACTACTCTCTTGCTGCACATACTGAATCCTCAAATAACAATAGCTCAGAACCCCTGTCATTGAAGGTAATTGATCCAAACCGATGGAATCCAAACTGATTTATTCCCTGATTGCAGGTAAAACCAAGTTAATTAAATTATACATGAAGGTCCCTGGATTTAGGCATTACAAACGCATTTTATAACCCGCTGAAAAACATCGAGCGTTAAAATGAAATTTTATTGCCTTCGATACGACAAGGATAAGATAAGGCGGTGATAAGGCTTCATTAAATCTCGAAATGGCTTTATTACATACGGGCTACGTAATTACTGAAAAAAACGTTGTAATATTACAGATAGAATCTTTATGCTATGCTACAAATTTTGACAGTTATAATTTTGTGCGTTCAATAAAACATTTATCAATGATTGATTGTTGCCAATCATTCTTCATTCATCATTGATTAATTGTTACAAATCTTTGATCATTTCTAGTAGCCTGCACATGTGCACCTTTTTGATGCTACAGAATCTTCTAGTTACATTTGATTGCTTATCGGTTAATTGCTTATTGCTTATAGTTAATTATAGCTTATTGCTGCAGTTAATTAAATGGTATGGACAAGAATTTTACAGAAACCATCAACGCAAACATCATATGTAGTTCTTTAAATCATTAGATACGGGTTCTATAGAAATTTCGAAATCGATCATTATTAGGCGCGGGAAATAAGTTCGATACAAAATATGCTGTCATTGAATACAGCTGAAACTGTCTATTTTTTCATGAGCTATTGTCTGATTTTTTTTTCAGATATGAATTTCGTTTTGCGGACGGACTGATTTGATTGATCGGTCTATCTCGTAAAGGCTCCAGTGATGACGCAGGCGATGATGACGAAGCCCGTTATAAGCCCCATTACATTTCCCTGTAGGTACCAAGTGGCGTTGTCGTGGCGCTCACGCCGCCGCAGTTTACACGCGGCTACCACTACACAAATGTCGTTTGTGATCGTATAATTTTGGTAGTAAGCGTTGTAGGATAGAAACAATGCCTTGTGATTCACGACCGCAAACTCAGAAGCTTTACACATATATAGGACAGTGTACATGAGACTGCCTAACAACACTTCAACTACTCACCGCGACTAATTGACTTCCATTACCCAACTAACCCCTTTCAAAAATTCTACCTAACGACAGACGCGTCCTTCTCCAAAGAACCATTTGTTTAGTTCCCATGTCTGACTAACAATTGAGAAAATACCTTCACAACAAATAGAGAAAATTAAAGATGAGCTCGAAAAACTGCAGTGTAGTAAAGATATATACAGATTCAAGTAGAAAAATAATTGTTATACGGTATGACGATCGTAACAGCGTAAATTAAGACGTTTAAATTACTTAAATGTTAAATTAAATTAAATATTCGCTGATTGGCAAGAACCCAAGACTGCTCTTTGCATTGGCAGACACTAAAAGACTGCTCATTCGCATCGAGCGAGAATTCCCATTTGGAAAGTATTATTTCATTTTTGAAACGACATCTGGACCGTGTTCCCGTTACTCGATCCAGATGTTCCCGCTTCTCTACAAGGTAACCTAATATTATTTAGGGTTAAGGTTAGGTCACGCGTGAAAAATTAGCCAAGTGAATAATTTGTTGCAATCTTTGTGAATTATTTGGAGTATGTTGTGTATGGTATACGTGAATGAGAACAATCTTGAATGATTTTTCAGTGGATAGTCGCAGTATGGTTTCCATTTTTTGCGCATTATCTCATTTATGAAAAAAGGCGCTAGTGTGCTTGTCATGTCCGTCTGTCTGTCTGTCTGTGACTTCTCGTTGCCGAGTATCCATGATACTCGGCAACGAGAAAATGCGCTCTCTGTCACTCACTGCAGTGAATACTGAGTTATATTTTCTATCATATTCATATGTTTACCCATTTCGTCATATGTCGAATGAATAGAAGTAATAAATTCGTTATAATTTATTCATCAGTCTGTTTATAACTATGTAGGTATTTAATATACAATGGAACATCGTTCTCCGGCAATGCTAATGAGAAATCGACTTATTCACGCCACGCACCTGCTTGCTTCTCGGGGCCGCAAGACATCAGGGAGGCATCGGCGCCTTTAAAAGAGGGGCCGGGATCCCTGCTGTAGCTCTTTACACCAGCAATGGGATGCTGGTGGGAACAAAATGACGTTTGTGAATATAAATGATACCAGGTGTTAAGTAATACTGCAACTTTCAGAATGGTCCTGTAGTGTAATTATAACGATGTGTATTATGTGATAATTGTCAATATGAAATGACCCTTGAGGTTGTTGTGAAATTCTAGTGTGAAAAACTGTTATCGTCGCATTTTGAATTGTAAATTGCAGTTACTAAGCTTTATTTGCGCTGCATTCTCGCATTTTTTCAATTAGTCTTTTATGCATCTTGCACACAAGTTCGAAACATCTACCAAATATTTTCACAAAATTTCGGATACAATTATCCGGCGCCCCCCATTAAATTTGGAACTAGGCATTTCATGATAATCATGTTTCTACCAAGGATAATTAAATATTATCAGAAATTAATTAACATTCGGTTTGCTCGAAGTGCAAATGAAACCAGAATTTGAAAGAAGTTTACTTCTTAAGTTTACTTTCATGAACAAAACTGATGCTGAATTCACATTTCAACACGGGGTTGGATAGGGTTTCGATTTAATTTGGATTAGTTCTCTCAAATTTAGACAATTCGTTAATCTCTGCTTTTATTTTTTATCCGGTAATCAATAATGAAGTTGTATTCTTGCTGAATAAATTTAAATAAATAATGTATGTTCTCTTCAAGTTTTTAGCAGATTTTAATATTACCTAGATAATTGCATAACCACCAATATTTTTCTTCCGATTTGGGAGTGAACGAAATAGTTGTGCTAGGTAGGGCTCAATGATTGGAATTCATTTTTGATATTAAATTATTTCTCTCCTGCATTTATATTTGATATTGAACGGCATCTTGAGCAGCGCAGGGATTTTCTCTCGCGCTCAAAGTCAAACCCCATTAATACATAGAAAATATTTGTCTACATGACTATTAATTACGCTCAAGCCACACCCATTTATTATTTGTATACAAGACGTGATTACCAGAGCGGCGATGAGCAGGAAGCTGAATGCCCATTTGTGGTCCATGAGTATCCTCCGCTGTAGAAAATAAGAAAAGTTCTGGTAGAATGTTCAATTTAAGCTTTATTTTTGTCTATTCCCTTTACTGTACAATAATTTTTGAGTTCAATTTCCATTTTGATAAGAATGAATAGTCACATTATTCTAAAAAACATCGCAATTTGCTCTCTACACAAAATGACGGAAAACTCAAATGATTGCAAAGGTATACAAATACACAAACACATACATACCCTTCCCCAAAAAAAGTGTAGATAACCACAGTACCTAATCATCTATGTGATAAAAATTTCATCACAATTACCTCTACTGACGTGTGATGTTTTGAGCGTCCGTTTCTGAACATTTTCTTCTCCGTTTTTGCGTTGATTCGGAAACTGACGGGTATATTCTTGCCAAGCGGAACACACACCAGGTCCACACATGCAGAGTATCCAAACGCCACCAATAAAATGCACTTACTGAGACTATGCACAGCTTATTTTACTTGCTATATCCCTCTTATCACTCGATCCATCAATGATAAGTATGTGCGGTCATGAAATATTTATAACTTTTTATATCAATTAGTCACTACTTGATGTAACAAGACGCAATTTGTTTTGATTTCGTGTAGAGTTCACTGATTCAGCGTCTACAGTTTAGTTGAATGTAACACTGTTTTTTGAGCTTCCTTCTCTATTGGGCTCATTTTCAATGCCCTTCAATGCATTCATGGAGAAGTATACGTAATGATCAATATACTATTTCAAAGTCTGAATGAATATTGGTCAAATTTAACAAAGTAATAATTTTCCATTGCATTGACTGTCACTTCAACTGATATTATTCTAATATTTAAGACACATTAGCCTTGAAATTAAGATCACATTACTTTTGATCGAAATTTGAACATTAACATACACTTGATTGTGTGAATTTGCTACTAATTACTGGTGATGTTTAACTGATAGTTAAATTTTTCTTCTTTATCCATCTCATTTTTTCACCAAAAAACTAACTTTATAACATCGTCGTTATTGAAAAAAATGCACGTTCTAAAATACTCTAAAATATTTTGATAGAAAGCCACAACGGCGAGCAGAGAAATCGTCCACTTATCTCTATGTATCTCATTAGGCAGATAATCCTAACATGCAAGGAAGATCGTAAATAAAATGATTACGCTTGTATCAGTATAGATAAGAACACACTTCCCAGATGAAAGGCTGATCTAACATTGGCTATGAAAATTTCACGTTTTACAGTTTATAATATAATACAGTACAGTGCTTTCAATTGTCCCTATGTTAGTCGCCAAGACAACTTTTTAGGTGTTTTATTTAAGTAGACACTGCAGTGTCTACTTAAATATAGCACATACGATAGACAATCACAATTTTAAATAAATTTGATAATTTTCGACATCCATAATGGTTCTAAAAGCCTATATAACATAAGTCAATTACCCTACAAACCAAATTGGAAATACCCAAGTTCACCCGACGGAACGTACTGTTGCGTCGGAGAATATGAGATGAAAGATATTGTGCTATGCAATGAGATTCGTGATATGTATGTAGGACTCAAGAATCTTTAAATTTAAACTATTTACAGCAAGAGTTTGCTTTGGATTCGTTCAGGTGGTGGCAGGTAAGGAACTGTTGAAAAAAAGGCTTGGCCGTCTGCGCTTGCTACGTCATCAAAATTAGAAGAGTCAGTTGTCTCTCTCACGGCGGCACCTATTAGCATGGGTTTGATCCATTAGGATTCATTTATAAAATTATGTAAAATAAGGCCTGTTGTCTAAGTTTGTCCTCACTAAAATTTCGCTCGACAATGTCCTGGAACTTGCAAGGCAGATTCCCTTTAAAAACCATCTGATACAATTGCTTAATAAATGATTCAATATAATTAAACGATGTTGAACTAAATAGGTTTAGCCGCATCTCAATCGATAACCGCATCTGACATCTCCCGAATGTGTGCGTCATGATATTTAATGTTGTTTCTCACTTTTATCATATTGTGTATTCATGGATTCGTTTCTATCCTGACAAATGATTTTCTACAGTCATTAGTAGAAGTTAGAAGAATTTTGTATTCGTGTTGTACAGGTTTCGTGCAAAATGATTTTGACTGTCTGAAATTATCCTGCTCTATTTTAATGAAAATTTTAAAATTGACTTGATTGGACATGGAAACTAAAAAGTGCACTAGATACTTGTCGAGTTTCAATTTTCCCCATTATCTGTTGCATATTGTAAAAAATTCAATAGCATTTTTTCCTGGAGTTTCATTCAGCCTGTTATCCTTATATCCAGTCTTATTCTAAAGAGTAATTTCAACAGAGTGAAAAACTTTACGTGACTATCATACAAACGAATGAAGAGGTCATTAACTTTAGTTAGGAAATTTTAGATACCGCAGTCGATACCGCAGTCTACTCATGAAGCCGCAACTCACCTCACATAATTTGAAATATTAGGTGCAATTGAATTGTAATCTGATAATGGGGAGATATGAGAGGTAAACGTTACCCCAAATTAACAACAATAAAAGATTCCGAGAATAAGCATTGACCGAATGCCACTCATCGCTGAGTCATATAATGCTCAATGTCCTGGACTAATCTCTGATAACAGAAATAAGCTTATGGATACATCGGCACCTCAAACATAGTGTAATAAATTGGGCAAAAAACACTTCTTTACTGGTATGAGTAATCATCTCATGGTGAGTGAAAAACAATTATAGCAAAAATGAAATGTAATTTCTATCTGATAATATTTATGCTAGGTCTCAAATTGCAGGAACTTAATCTTGGTTAATTTCAATTTTCAATTTCCTTTTCAGAACGAAATCACCGAAAAGTTATTTGAATTTATAAAAAAAAAAACATTTAATTAAATCTTATGACAGTCAGTTGTGTATGCTGTTCGGTGTAAACTCATGTTTCATCGTTCAATAATCAAAGAGAAAGTAGTTAATGTCATCCTTAGGTAAAACACACCCGAAATCTTATGTTCTTCTTTCATGAACACTCGAACATCAACTGTATTAATCATTACGTGACCATTAAGCACTTGTAATTGGACATTCCCAGGAAACTTCATGACTACTTGCAACTATTGATTAAATTCACGATAATAGAAGTAAAATGCATTTTACTTCTATTATTTAACTTCTATTCTTTATTTTAACTGATGCAAATCGGAACTCCAGATAATAGGAACTCGCCAGGTGGTTGACATTCCACAAACTATCAAAACCGTTTAGTTTGAAAATTTTGATATTTCTATATTTTGCAGCGTCATTCCCCTGGACGTTTTTCCGTCTTTCCGAACTATATAATGTTGCCGGCGCCGTGGATGCGGGTGTGCTCAAAAGGGGATGCATGCCGGAGGCCAGCATAGCCCAAGACCAACATATCTTTCATCCTCCTTTCCATGCGTAAGCCTGCTAAAGGGCAGAGTAGACTAAGGGATTACAAGTTAAAAGCCAAAGGTACAAATCCCCTTCATGGAAATTAACCAGCGAGCTAAACTTGTGTGCTGAAGCAGTGTTGGTTTAAAGTTCGTGTGGTGAGATAGGTCAATTGACTACAGCTGCTTAGATGCCAGGATGACAATATCTACAGCATTTAGATGGTTGATGTTGGCTCCAGGGCTGATTTGAGCGTTAATTTGCTGGTCTACGGCTGCGCACCCTTCAAAAGGACCCACTTCATTTTTCCGGTAACGGCATTGTAAATTTTGTAATTGGTTGGATGGAAGGATGAACGGCGGTATATATAGTGCATACAGATTGATGGCTTGCCCCTTTACAACCGAGTGGCTAAAAGGTAAACAATGAGTTGAGTAAGTATTGAAGTAGTTTGGCTGACCTAAGTTGCAACAGTAATAATTACAGCTGACAGTTAACTGGTGGTGAATTAGTTTAAACTTTAAATCGTCGCAGATGTTTGGTAAATGGGCAACACATTCTAACTTAAAACCAATGAAACTCATTGGCAATCATTGTATCAAACTATTCACACCTTACATTTTGCTATTTAAAAGCCCTGCCTACGCACTCACCCAAGCATTAGGTCTTTTTAAGGCAAGTAACCAAAACTAAGTAGACAGAGTGTTAAAGGATACTGCTCACAAGTCCTACCAGTTTGAAATTCTTGCAGCGATGACGGCCGGTCACCGCAGGCACACTAGCAAATGGGCAAAAGTTAGCCTATCCTGCCGACTTTAGCTCGCGTACCCGCAGTGTTAGGGTGATTCGGCCGTAGCGACCCGTGGCCTCGGTCGCTTCTTCGCAAGCATTTCCTACGCTCGCGGCGCGGCAGCTAACCTTTTCGGCCACGGTCGATTCTATCATCGTTTATGGGTGCATGGGTAAGGGATGGGTCAGTCGGGACAAAGAGGGGGCAGAATATAATAATTTGTACAACATACCCACATCTTTCTTTTCAATTGTTAGCAACTTGTGTGATAGCACATATTAATTGAGAATAGCAACCACTAATGTGAAATTTGAAGTGTCTCTGGATTGTGAATAAGCTACAAAATATTATTGACAAAGTGAAAAAATTATTTAACGTCACAGCCGCACCCACTCACGGACTTTTTTGCTAAGAAGCCCATTGATGGCGTATTAGCTGAAAGTTGGTGGTTAGAAGTTCTGCGTACTGTTCCCTGAAGAATTTAAAAAAAAGTTGTTATTGTCAAAATATAATGTTTTGGCATTTTTTTTTTGGTTTAGTAACTATTGCTGTTGTGGTTATCAATTGTCTACTATAACTTCTGATGAAATATAATTCACTTTATCCTGTATCACATTTGTCAATTCATGATACTTCGTCTTTGATATTTCACTGGTCAATGGGACTCAAATCAATCAATTCACTCAAAATTTAAAAGTCTAAAAAAAGTCTCAGTTTTGCCCCTATTTTGTGACCTTGAAACAATTTTTGTCTTTTCTTGAAGTGGAAAGTCTCATTTTTCTAAGGTTTATTTATCATTTATGTCCAACATTCAGAATTGTCCTTCCAGGATTTCCAAACTGATGAAATTATAGAATCATAGTGTCAAAGCTGAGACTGTTTCAATCAGAAAATTCTATATATATTTAGGGTTCGATCAATGGAAATTTCGATCAAAACTTGATTCATAGATTCGTTCTCATGTTCATTTAAGAGTCCTATTAATTAACTAGTGATGTATCATGGATACAAAAATCCAGAATTATCATACATAAAAAATTTGCTTAAATCTTGAGTAGATGAGGAAATTAAGAATGACATGATTCTAATAATTTTGTAGTTTGTTTCTATGTTTAGAATTGCTTTTGGTAGTTCCACTAAAATTCTAGTTTGATACAAGGTGATAACTTGCTCAGTTCAAATATATCTGATTTCAGTAAACATTACTTAAGATGAAGAATTATTATGATTACCAGTAGGA